AGAAGTGTAGAGATCATCAGGTCCAGCATTTTTAAACTGCAAGTTGTGACAAATAGTGAGCACGTAATGAATTAAGTGGGTCATATCTATCCTTTTTAATGAAAAATAATAGACTAGAATAGAACCTATTGCAATAAATCTCTCATAGAAAGGTTAAATATTTTTTCATGAAACTTTTGTTTTTGTATATGTGAAGGGCAGGGTACAAAGCAAAATATATTTCTTATCATATATCATCTAGTCCAATACCTTCGCTTTATAGATGGACAGAATTTTAGACCAAAGAGGTTAAGCGACTTGCCTATAGCTACCCAAAGTGTGGTCCTAAGACCAGCAGCATCAGCACCACCTGGGAGCTCGTAAGAAAAATGAATCTCAGACTCCACGCTAGACCTGCTGAATCAAAGTCTGAGTTCTAACAAGGGGATTCAAGTGCACGTTACAGTTTGAGAAGCGTTAGGCTATACCCTTGTAAGGGGAAAGAATTTCAAGGCTAACTGGAGCAGTTGAGATCAAAGTATAACTACAACCACCCAAGTGGAGAAAAAACCCAAGATATGTTTTGAAGGGTAACAGTCAGGTAGAAAGAAACCTAAAATGTTTTATATCTGACCCATTTCAATAGAAGAATGTGCTGGATTCCCCAGGTCATTTTAGGTGGACCAAGAGATATTCTTTTGTTTCTACAATATTCATTTTTTCAGTGACCTCATATTTATGGCGAATGATACTGGTTTTCCATTTACAATGATGATATACTATTTCCTTATAAAGAAGTTTTTTCAAGTAGGTCAATTTAAAGAACTATAATAATTAAATAATAGGGCAGATGGGTTGAAGGTGGAATATGAGTAACTAGAAAGCAGCCTTGCAAGACTAGATCAGTATCGCCCTGAATTTCACATTGCAGAGATAAACATCATGTTTAAGAAGAAATAGAGGACTGCCAACCTTTCTGTTTTGCCAAATAAAGATATTTGGAAACAGAACAAACCAACATTTACTATACACTATCATCACATAAAAGAAAGAATATTTTAATACTCCAAAAAGCAGAAAGACAGTATCAGAAAGAAAAGTCTTTCCAAGAAAATATGGTTGGCAATCTTACAAAGATTCATACACATAAGTCCACAGTCCCTTATCCAAAACCCTAGCCATACAGGTCTCAGAATTCAGGTTTTTTTGGGGGAGTGGGGGTGGAGGAGGAAGGGTGTTCAAAAGGGATGAAGGTAGTATTGTGGCATTTGAGGGAACATCCAGTACCATATCAAATACATTAATATTTCTTCAGGGAAACATATGAATATTCACACTAATTGAGTCAATAAAGATTTATAGAACACCCATATGAAATCAGGTCAGCCTTTAAACCAAATAAGTTATGAAAAAAACTTCAGTTTCAGACATGTTTTTACTTTAAAATTACAAATAAGGAATTATGCACATACATGTTATACAGTGTTGCCTTTTTTAAATTTTATTTCGTTGTGACGCAGGTTGCCATCCATCACTGACAAGCACAGGTCTGAGAATGATGATGCATAGATAGCATGTTTAGCCTCTGGTCACATAATTTATTCCCATTCTCCAATTACAACCATGGTGATGATATATATTAATTTATATCATATTCTATTTGAATATTATTGAAGAGAATTTCAAATGGTCACTTGTTAAAATGTAAGCTCCATGAGGCAAGGATGTCTGTTTTGTTCACCGATGTACCCTAAGTACTTAAGAGTGTCTGACACATTACAGCTGCTCAGTATTTGTTTAAAACTGAAAGATTTGCAAGTTAACCCATGCAAATACTAAAAATTGTCATTGACGGCTCATGGATATAGAGAGTTGAGTTATGGATGTGTGTGTGTATTTGTCTTCAATTTAGAGCAATCTGTTACATTCTTTCTTTGACAAAAAATACATGTATATGTGAGTGTTTCCTGCTAGTTCTTCAGTTACAAACAGGATTTGGATAAGGGAGTTCCAGATGATGATGTCATATATTGAATCATCTGAAACCGAGTCAACACAAATAAATATTTGGTACTGATGGTTATTTTTGAAAGACAGAATATTTAATTTCTTTGCTATTTTGGATCCAGATTGTCAAAAAATAAGAGCCAGGTCAATGAACTTTAATAAGAAAAAAACATGAACACAGTAATATAAATCAGAGGAAATAAGAAAATAATTCAGTAAAATAATTTAGTGAAAAATTTTTAAAACTGCTTAGCCACCAAGGATGTGAATTGATTTTCATGGTCACAACAAAATAATGACTACAGCTGGACAAAATATGATCACAAGAAGAAGCTAGTCTGATTGTGTTCTAATTCTTCCAGAAAGAAATTTAGTTTGCTTCTCTTCCATTGACTCATATGGGTTTGGTTTTTGATAAAAGTCTGATTAAATGAGAAAAAATTATTTTCCAGGATAAAAATATTATCCCTAACTAAGAGTAAGGCAGTATCACTATTTTTCAAATGAAAGCAACATGTCACCTCATCATAAATTAATGGCAGTCTTTTTCAGAACTAAGACAAAATCCTGCAGGCATTTACCAACCACAGTGTATAGTGAAATGTTAAATGGCCTGCAATCCTATCCATCCAAACATTATAGCGCTCAGTTACTAGTAAGTAGGCATAACCCTCTAGACACAGAAATCCTTGACTACCATAATCATAACAGTTCTCACTCAGTAAGTGTTTACTATCTACAAGGCACTATACAATTAATGTTACTCATCTTACAGACTTAAGAGGTTAGTATCACTGCCCCCACTCTCATTTTACAGTTGAAGAAATTAGAATTCAAAAAGGTTAAATAACTAAGTTTATACCACAGTAAATAGCGAAAGCGAGGGAATTAGGAGGTTATAATCTAGATTCATCTGATCTATATATTGTCCACTGTACCACACTGCCTTCCTCCAGCCACGTTAGTAGCGTGAAACACTTTTGAAATCTGTGGTTCTCTGATGTAAAGGTAACTGACATCCAAAAACAAGCAATTCCAATTATTATAATTCATTTTTTTCTGTTGACTCTTTTCATCATCTGCCACTGCTTATGACAATAAATGTACCCATAAAGTCAAGAGCAATTTCTCTCAGCTAATAGTCTTTTCAACTTGCCATTATTTTCTTACCTAGTTACTGAAATTGTTCATTCTGAAATAGATTTGTGGGATCTTAATTACACAGTTAGTTGTTTCCTTGTACTATATCTTAAATAATGAAACTTTTGCTTATCGTTTTGCCAGGCACCACCAGAAAATAATTACAGAATTTCTATAATACAACTTTTAAGCAAAGACTTTCCATAAGAATAAATCAAAGAAAGAAAATATTGTCATAGAAGTCAAGTGTAATTAGAACTATAAATCATCAATCCACTCCTTTAACAAATGCATTGAATACCCTGGTATGTGTTAGAAATCGGTAGAGGTACCTTTGGGGTATATAAATTCAATTTAGTAAGAAGGTGCTGAGTCTTTAAAGTGAAAAGAGCCTTTAAAATAAAGCTGATGTTTGAATTAAGACCGTAAAGGCTTGAGATTGTTCCTTTTGTCACAAAATATGAGCACCAGAGAATATAGTTGTCCTGTTCCCCAGAGGGGCGCCCTGCACTCTTGGTGGTCTAGGAGATGACTGAGGTGGGCCCAGGATGATTGTAGGCAGAAGAGGATAAGGCATTGGCTTGAACATGCCCTCTGCATTCACGGTCAGTCTGATTAGATTCAGGCCACGGCAACAGCGTTGTGCTAATCGCTCTTACCAACATTTAGCTGCTGCCCATC